CCAAGCAAAAGTCGACCCTGGACCACACTAAAAAAATCTTAACAGAGAAATCTTAGAAAAAATACAACTGATTCCAAGTAATTTTACTGTATGCAAGAACCAACTATAACACTACTTAAAGGAACACAGCAGAATCAAGCACAAAATCATACAATGCCTGGCAAAAACTGTGTGGGAAATGGGTCGTTAGCATCCCGCAGACATCTCCCTTTGTTCTGCAGGTGTCCTCCTGGCCGGCTGCAGGGCTGATCAGCGCATTGCAGTCTCTGAGTGTAGCTTGATTAACATTTTTAATTCTCATGCCTCCTCCCTACATTAACCTGATTTATGCTTTGGGAACTATTTCCTTTTACCATTAAAGCACTGGCCATACCTGAGCTGCCTATGTGGATTTATGATAGAAATTCTAAGGCGGCAAGAGGTCTGTGATAAGCTTTACTCTTATAAGATCCTAATGGCTGCTTCTTACTTTGCTAGTGCAGGTTGCTGTGGCCTGTTTTCTGCTACTGAATACTCTACTGTAGAAATATAGGTAAAATATTTTCTAGGTTTATTCCATATGCCGGGTTATGTTCATATATGTGTTTGGAGAGAAATTTCCAATTAACTTAGCACATGAGGCTTTTAAAGGATAGCCCTATAGGAAAAAAAATCCTTTCATTAGCAATTGATTCCAGGAAGGCTTCTGTCCCACGGGATGATAAAGTGTACCGTGGGACACACGGAAGAGATTAAGTAAGCTCTTAAAACCAAAGCCATGTCTGGTCAGGCAGTGTGCGTCACAGTGGGGAGATGAGTCAGGACTCGTCAAGTCAGACTTGCCAGACGCCGAGTCCGGGCATGAGGCAGGAATCCCTAACATGAACCAGGAGCTCCTAGTCCTGCAGAGATTGACCTTCCTTTGCTGAATATGTCACCCCCCCACCCCGCCCACCCCTACGAATTTGAAGAGGTGGATGTAATAATCACGGGTCATGTTGGACCTGTGCTGGCCAGAAAGCTGGGATCTGACTGTTGCGGGAGGGGGGCCTTGGGCGCGGAGGGGCAAGTGTCTGGATCTCGGCGGGGTTGGCAGGGCAGCTGGCGAAGGTACAGTCATCGTGACCGTGCTCTGGCCACGGCCTTGGCTCACAGGGGGCAGCTGCCCTGGGTCTGTCCCGCTGACCTCGCCCTGTTAAGGGGCATGTCTCTGGGGTGGGCCACCCACACCTGCTGTTAGATCCCAGGGGAGAGAGCCCAACATAAAGGTCCCACTAAGAGACCCAGCCGCAGAGCTGTGTAAAGTCCAGGATCCTTAGGTTGTGACTCTGAAGCTTGCTTTGCCCTTCAATTATTCCAAGGCCAAAAGGAAGTCAGGACACTTTCCAGAATAGCTTCTTGATCCCCTGCCCTGGGAGGCAAAGGGTACGAGACACCCAGCTTTAGCTTTGTAATTTTGAAGTTCACGCACGTCTTTTTTTCAAAATGCTCTCTCTGGGGCCTGGAAGGTATAGTAGGATTTACCTTTCTGTCTGCTTTCCCAGGTACCGGAAGAGGGCTGATGAGCAAAACATCCCTGCGGGTGAGAATCTCTCTCTTCTCCTTGGAACCCAGTATAGATTTTGCTGCTTTGTTTTTGTGATTGAAATCAAGTGAATTAAAAATATTTCAGACGTACAGGCATTTTTTACCTAATGGGTGTGTTCAAATTCAATTCTGTCAGTTAGAATTAAGTTTGCTGTGTATGCGAGATAAACCCAAAGTAAAATGCTTAAACTGGGCAGTTCATTTGACTGTCATGTAACCAAGCCTGGATTGGCAGACCTGGGCCGCTGTGGTGGTCACATGGCCATCAGAGGCCCAGATCCCTTTTAGCTCTGTCTCCACGTCCTTGGAGGGAGCCCCCCACCCTCAGGTCCATGGGGGAGCTCCTGGAGCTTGAGCAGCAGGACCGAGCGAGGGGGTGAGGAAGGCAGACTTCTCCCATCAAAGAAATTCGAGGGACACGGGACTGGCCGGCTGTGAGGGAGGGGAGACGTGCGGCCCTTTCCCAGCCCTGTGCCCGTCTGATGGGACTGGTAGGGAGGAGGAGAGGAGGCGTGTCGGGGTGGACACCTACAGTCTCCGCCACAGCACATTCTGTAAATCAGATCGTGTTTTACACGTGCCAGGGAAGGAGCTGCTCTCAGCTGAGAGGCTGTGTGAGACTTAGTCGGTGAACCTGAGCAAGCAGAGTGGGGTGGCCTCGGAGCCCGTCCCGGGGTGGCCTTCAGCTAGCTTTGGTGCCCGGAGGGAGCAAAGCCCCTAGCCCTCGGCTTGTGTTTCCTCACCTGGAAAATGAGGTGAATGACATAGGTGACCTCCAAGGTCTATTTTAGTTCTTTCTATGCTATTTAAAGGACATCTAGTACATAACTTTTCTGTAAAGCTACAAACTAACTCCTTAATTGATTTTTAATTAAAAATTTTTAAAATTTGTATTTATTTAATTTCTATAAAACCCAGCTGTCTACATATATTTAACCTAAAGAATGGTAGCTTTTAATATTCTAATTCTGTTATGTTATTTTTATATTTTAAAATTTTGTGGTAAAAATGTACATAAAATTTACTGTCTTAACCATTTTGAGTAGTATTAAGTAATTCACATTGTGCAGTATTTTTATTTTTTGAACAGAGGTATAACTGACTTCACTCTATAGCAGAATTTGGGAAGGAGAGACAAAGCTGTCATGTATACAGCAGTAATTACGAGTTGTTTTTGTTTAGATCATGAAATGATAATTGGCAATTGCTTTACATGTACTTTTATTTATTCTTTTTTAAATTTATGGTACATTGGTTAACGGAATCCAATAAGTTTCAGCTGTACACTTTATACACGTACTTTTAAGTGGCTTTTTTGTTAAATTTTTTGAAAATAGAGACGCATTTTATATATTATGAAATGCAAAGATTTTAAGTTTCCAGTGTGATGAGTTTTTATTTACTCCCATCAAGATGAAGAACATTTTATCAGGTGGCTTTTCTTCAAATGAAAAAGTCATGGATGTCGGAGCAGGAAGGGGTGGCAGTGATCACCTAGCTTAATCTGTTTCCGGATGAGGACACCGGAAGTCACACCCAGATGATTTTTGGCTGAGATTTCTAAGCAGCCCAGATGCCAGTTGTAAAAGCAGGATCTTATGTCTGGCCTCTTAGTGCCTTATTTATTTCTGGTGTCTGTTACTTGACATGTTAATTCTTCTATGTTTCTATTTTAGTGAGAGGAACTGAGAACTATGCCTTTGCAGGTGGTAAAAGGGGACCCTTGTGCTGGGTGGGCTGCCCTTTGTTTAGCTAGTTGGCACAGCTGGAGCAGTCACTGGACTTGGGGATTGCACCGGGCAGAGTTTTTTGCGTGGTTTCTGCCTGTGTCTCATAGGTGGCACAATTTCCTGGCATAAGAAGGTGAAGGGACAATATGACTTGAGGTGTCAGAGTGTACCACTTCCTTTCTGGTGAAAAGTTGACTGGTGTTGCGTGTCAGTCACATAACTAACCTTTAATTCTTGTCAGAGTGGTGTGCCTGTGCTGGAGCAGCCTTTCCTGCATCTGTTGATTCAGGGGCTTGGGAGTCAGTCTGTTGGTGGGCTCCTGGGTGGTCTGTGTCCTGGGTTCTTAGTAGATGATAAGGGAATCACTTTGAAAGATAGATGCATACTCATGGTCCTTCCCAAAGCACGGGTGTTCTAAACTTTACTTTCTTTTTTGGTAAGGAGGGACAGGTGATTATTTCGTTGCCTGAGAGTTGCCTGCTCACCACCGACACAGTGATCAGGAGCTACTTAGGGGCGTACGTTGCTAAGTAAGTGACCATGCTCATCTGGTGCAGATGCGTCTCCTTTAAAGTCTGTTGTTGGCAAATATGTCACCTAAGACATAGTTCATTAGGGCCCACGCAGATGCTTCTCCTTTAAAGTCTGTTGTTGGCAAATATGTCACCTAAGACATAGTTCATTAGGGCCCACGCAGCCCCTTTGCATAGCTAATGGATATCTGAAATGATGTTCTATGAAGTTTGTTCTTTTTTTTTTTAATTGAGGAATTTATTCTTATTATGGTGACATTGGTTAACAAAATCCAATCAGTTTCAAGTGCACAGTTCAACAGTAAGTTGTACTTGTGTTGCGTTGTACATTTGCTGCCCATAATTTAGTGTTCTTTTGTCACCATGTATTTGACGCCTGAAGTTTGTTCCTAATTTATTGTAAACTGCTTTTTTAAAGGTTTTTAGTAGGCTGCCTGGGACGTGGGTTTTAATCCTGATCTGTCCCTAGAAAATGAAGATTAAATGGGACGATAGAGGCAAATCACAGCTGAGTGCCTTGATTCATAGTAGCCTGTTCTCCTTCATCATATAGAGCTTGACAAATGTCAGTTAGTCTCTCTTGTTTTTACCCTTATTGTACTTGCTCGAATTCTCTTTCAACTATAAAGAGCTGTTGACGTTATGAAAGTGTTAGTATTATGTAGCATAGAAGAGAAGAGGCTGGTGTGGGAGTTAAGTATTTTCTGTCTCATGTTATAGTGGGCCTTTGTTTTGGGGGCTTTCTGAAGGCAGAGTGAGTGAGAGCCTCAGCAGAAGGGGTTTCTAAATAATGATGATTAAAAGATCATATTGTTTCTTAACCCAGGATAAGTTCTGGACTTTTCTCCCTTGACATGCTTTTGTAAGAGGGCTGATGTATCTTCATTGGCCTGAGTAGCAGCAAGGACGCTCTTAACGTGAATATTTTCTGTATCATTCTGAACTTTTGAGTAGAATGTATGGTATAAGAATCTGGACTTTGAAGGATTAATGTAAACTTCTAAATACATTCATGCAACATGAGATCTTTTATTGGCAACAAATAAAAATACTACAGTGTCTAATTTGCAGTATATTGGGTAAGTTTAGGAACAAAAGCTTCAGAACTGTGACAAGTATATAATGAGCATGTTCACTTTTCCGTCTAGGTTAGTATCGTACAGTAGAACTTTATGCAGTGACAGACACTTCGCTCTGCGTTGTCCAGTATGGCAGTATTAGCCACATGGCTGTTGAACACAACTGTGGCTCGTGTGACTGAGGAATTGAATTTTCAATATTATATAATTTCTAAAAAATTGAAATAGCTCCATGTACTCAGTGGGCGGGGCATGTCTAGGTTCTCGCCACCAGTTTTTCCCCCACCAGGTTTTGTGTTATTACAAGTACTCAGTGGGCGGGGCATGTCTAGGTTTCTTGCCACCGATTTTTCCCCCCACCAGGCTTTGTGTTATTACCCAGGTGAAACAAGGGGACTTCTCAAAGCTTTAACACTGGAGAACCAAGTTGGTAGCAAAGAGGTATTCTGCAAAAAAAAAAAAAAAAAGAATCTCCTGCAGACAAAGCTGGATTAGTAAGGCAGTTCTTATATCAGTGTGACTTGTTCAGAACACGTGTCTGGGTTCTGCTCCCGAGAGGGAAGCCTTGAGGAAGGCAGGCCCTTTCCTGGGCGTGTGCTGGCGATTTGGCACAGTCCCTTGGAGTACAACAGACCACCAGGATGTCTGTATCTTTTCCTTACTCCATATTTTGAATAAAAGTAATTCCTTTAATCTGGCTTTTAATTTTAAAAGGTGGCAGCCTCCTCTGTCTCCGCTGCTGGCTCTGTGCACCTTTTTAGTTGCAGAAAAGCATGCTGGGGACCGGTCTCCCTGGAAGCCTTACCTGGAGATTTTACCGAAGGCCTATACCTGCCCCGTTTGTTTGGAGCCGGAAGTGGTGAATCTTCTTCCCCAACCTTTGAAAGCAAAAGCCAGAGAGCAGAGAATCCGCGTGCAGGAGTTCTTCACTTCCTCCAGAGACTTCTTCTCCTCGCTGCAGCCTCTGTTTTCCGAGGCCGTCGAGGGCATCTTCAGCTACAGTGCCCTCCTGTGGGCTTGGTGCACTGTCAACACCAGAGCTGTGTACGTGAAGCGTGGGCGGAGGCAGTGCTTCTCCGCAGAGCCAGACACCTGCGCCCTCGCCCCATACCTGGATCTGCTGAATCACAGCCCAGGTGTCCAGGTGAGAAGTCGACAGGGGGACACACGTTCTGTTTTCATAGGAAGGACTTCGACATGTAGAACGTGTGATTTTCAATATGAGTGAAACCACAGGGAAAGGTGTCGTTGGCTTTAGGTAAACCTTCCTGCCATCAGGTATGCTCCTGTCTTTCTTCCCGACCCCATTTGCCCTCTGGGCATCGTTTTCCTTTGCCTTGTTTTCCCACTGCTCTCCAGGCCCACAGGACCCGTGCTCTATCGCCTGGACGGTCTTAGCCAGCAGCCTGCCCCTCCTCCCACCCTTCTCCCCTTCCCCGTGGCCCCTGCAGGCCACTCTGCCCTGAGCACAGCCCTGTGTGGCCCTGCGTCCCTGCATATGTGACGAATAAACTGCTGCCAGTCTGATTCGGCCATCGTCAGAGCCCTGGGCAAGACTCCCTCCCTCACCAGTGGGGTGATGCCCAGGTGGACAGGAGACCCAAGTGCAGATGTGGCGTTTTTTCCACATGGGGTTAAAGTCAGCGATGAGTGTTTGAAAGGTACATCTGGACTAAATACAGTAACTTAATCTTTTTAGTTTATGCTTTGCTTTAAAAAAGTCTTTAATGATTTTCCTTTCTAGGTACAAGCAGCATTTAACGAGGAAACTCGCTGCTATGAAATTAGAACAGGTTCGAGCTGCAGGCGGCACGAAGAGGTTTTCATCTGCTACGGCCCCCATGATAACCAGCGGCTGCTCCTGGAGTATGGCTTCGTGGCCGCCCGCAACCCTCATGCGTGTGTCTATGTCTCACAAGGTTGGAATTGCTTTTGGTTCTTATCACGAAGATGAGATAAATATGTTTCCCCATCTGGGGATGTGGTTATGTTTAATAAAAATGGCAGATCTTAAAATGTATTTCATTCATTTTCTCCTAGGTAGGGATGGTCTTACTCTTATCGACCATGTAATCGTAATATTGAGGTGAAAACAAAGCTTTGAGCAATATCGGGGATTAGAAGAACTGAAAAGTTTTATTGAATCAGGTCAGACAGTAGAAGGAAAGAACAGGAAAACTGCTAAGAAATGTAATAGTAGTGGATGGAAAGAAAGGGAACTTTGGTAGAGAGATAGTGTCATTGTCATGGAAGGTAGGATAGGATTAGAGAGCAGGACGGCGCTGTGCTCATCATAGAGAGAAATATATCCTACAGTCCTTGTTTGTTTTAATGCCAGGATGAAATACCGATTTATGTTCTTTTGTGGTCTACTAACTAGCCACTGCCATCGGTATTGCCATTTTAAAAGCAGTAATTGAACTATTAAGTTTATGCAGTGAAAATTCCAAGTATGATATGAAAAATGGTACATAAAGGCCAACTTTTTTTCCTTCTAAAGCACCAGAGACAGTTTTCTAGGCCATGAGGAAATGGCCAGAGATTTACTAAGGGTGTAATTTGAGGTGGTTTTAATTTAAGTTCTAGTGGAAATGGAAAGTCGATCGAGGTGGTACTGCTCCACCCTATAGGCAGAATGATAATGTTTATCAAAATAAAATAGACAAGCAAAAACGGGGTCTTGCTGGATCGTGTAGAAAACTAGCTTTGAGGTTAGCCTCATGTTATCAGAATAACTTTAATACTGATGGTCGCAAAATACTGATTTGTGAACAAACTTTATGGATCAGTTATTTTACATTTAAAAGATAAAAACATACAAAAAAAGTTAGATATAGAAAAATCTCTCATTTCTCTACTACCCCAAATAACTGTTAATTTTTGTGTATATACTTTCAGTTGTTTATGATTGCAGTCACTGATATCCAGACAGTTTTGAATTCTGGCTTTTGAAAACTTAATACTGTAAACATTTTCTCATGTTTGTACAGAGCGTACACTTTTGGTGGGTGTAACTTCCTAGCAGTCCTGCTAACATCTTAATGACCTGATTTTGTTGGGAGCACGAGCTGAGGTAGTGGATGTTTGGTTTCCTCCCTTGGAATTCTTGCAGGGCTAATAATGATCTATCTCATTGAGATGGACTTGAAGAATGAATTAGATGAAACTTGGTATGATATGAATTAGATAAAACTTTACATATGTCTTGATTGCCGATGGGAAGGAAAGTAAGCTGAAAAGTAAGCTTTTGCCTGATTTATACCCTAAATCTGATTTTTTTTTTTATGTAGATATACTTGTTAAATATCTCCCATCAACAGATAAACAGATGAACAAAAAGATTTCCATTTTAAAGGATCACGACTTTATAGAGTAAGTGTCTCTTTCAAAATTGTTTCTTTAGGAAATTCTGATGGAAAAATGGAGGGTTAGCATTTCCGTAGACGTGAGATACCGCTTGACCTGCACTGATTGACAAGTGGGCATTTATTGAGCACTTACTATGTACAGGAAATTGTGGTCGATGTTGCGGGGCACATGGGATGTGCCAGATACTTTCCAAGAAACTTTTTTTGGGGACATGAGATACTAGCTTGAAATATCAAATTATTGTACCAGAAGAGAGCCCTGTACGTATTGATTGGTGGCCCGGTGTAAGTTTGTCTCTAACATGTGGTAATGTGGAATGGCCCTCAGCCACCCAATAGCACGGCGTAGGCTCTGGGGGTGGGGGTAGGGGTGGCGAGGTGATTCTGTGCCAAATGGGATAAAAGGCTTCAGGGCTCTTGCCCTTTCAGGTTTTTTCTGTAGTTAAAACTACGTTTTAAATAATCCAGCCCAGTGCGAAGGCAGTCTAGCGCTGGTGGTTGCCATTCGTTTGATCCCCAGGATAACCCAGATTCTTCATCGTTTGTCTCAGTGTGACCTGGGGCATGTGCCTTCCTGCTGTGGTCCTCTCACCCAAGTTTAGTGGCTTAAACACAAAGAATTTTCTCTTACTCAGGCTTTATTCTTAAGTATTTGGACTTATTTTTCTCTTTGTTCTTGTGACCAGGATCTCAGGTTACATAATATTTAGTGACACCTTTAAACAAACGTTTGGCATTTTAGTCATTTGCCTTGGTATCGTGAAGTACTGAAATTAAGGATTTGTCCTTGTTTTTTTATTTTAGAAATATGACGTTTGGATGGGATGGACCATCTTGGAGGTTGCTCACAGCTCTTAAGCTGTTATGTCTGGAAGCTGAAGAATTGTAAGTACTGCGCGTGTTGGTCACGAGCTGTAGTCAGAATCTGGAATGCTGGCCCGTATGTCAGCGTTGCTTATTCTCTATGCCACTTGCCCACGTGGTGAGTGTCTCACTTCCAAGTTTCCACCGTTTCCGGAATTCTGGTTTTAGCCTCATAATCAGAGTGCATGGGCCCAAGAACTTCATAGCCTCTACTCTGATATTTCCCCCGGTGACCCGCAGCTCGTTGTTCAGGGTAAACACGTCCAACGTGTGAACGTTGGTGTGGTCCACAGGGAAGTCTGGGTAGGTGGGTGTTTCTGAGGAGCAAGCAGAGCGCCTCACTACCCACCCCGCATCCTGCCCCTCCGGTCAAGGAGAGCCCTGGGTGTTTACACGGGGGAGGCAGCCCGAGGAGCCCCCGGCAAGGCTCCTGAATGTCTCCTTGAGTCTCTCGGCCCTGCCCCCCGCGCGGAAAGGCCAGTCCGCTTGCGCAGCTGTGTGCTGCCCAGCCCCACGCTCCTGCATTCTGGGTTCTTGTCGGGGAGTCGGGGACGAGTGCCCAC